CCCCCTGGGACCCGTAGCTGACTTCCAGCCCATTTCCACTGCTCCTGTGCCCGCTCGTGTGAGCTCGGCGCTTCTGGCTCCCAGGAATTGCAGGAGGGACTCGGGGTGAGGTCGCGGACTGCGCGGCCTTCCTCTTGGGGAGAGATGATCAGCTGAAACAGGGCTTAGCAAGCAATTGTCTCCATTTCCCTGTTCAGTTTTCATAAAATGCTAAGAAGCCTTACTAACCTGCTTTAGCTACTGGAATCATGTCATGTATTTAGCTACATTTTGATAAAAACGAAATAGGTCGTTTAAGTGGAACAATCCAGCGGTGGGCAGGAAGGCCCCCTGTGGCCTTTCCCCAGGACAGAAGCGTCTGCTGAAAGGTCCCCCTGGCGTGGGTGCCGGTGAAGGGGTTCCGGGGAAGCTGCGTGGGGCCAAGTGGCCTGTCCTGGAGGCGGCCCCGCGCTGGAGGAGACGGGCTGAGGACTGGCCAGGCGCCCTGCCAGTCCAGGCCTCCGCGTGTACACCGTGCACCGCGCCCCGGAGGGTCTCTCCACGAAAGGCCCAGCAGCTGCTCCAGTATGTCACCTGAAAACTGATCTTACCACTTACGTGTTTTGGCCGAAGTTATGTGTAAAGCAAAATCTTCAAATAGTCGTCTCTTCTTTTGTGTTAGGAACCATTTGGCTTGACATAAAACCTACTGTTTTGGTTTCCTAAGAAATGAACATTTTGTGAGCAAGGCGGAGAGTGGGGCTGTGTCCTTTTTTTTTTTTTTTTGCATAAATGTTCTCTGCTGGTGCCCAGAAGCTGCACACTCTAAAGCGTGTGTAAATAAAACAGTGTGTCGTGATCACATATAAAGTCCTTCCTTGTTTACCAAGAAAGTGATGCATGTTCTGGGAAAGTCCAAAGTCCTGTGATCTTAAATTATTCTGAGTCGTCTGGCTAATGTTGTATCTTGGGAGAAATAAACACAACTTTATGAGGTTATCAGTAAGTTCGTGTGGTTGGAGCCCAGCAGGAATTAGTAGAATATGGGACACGCAGTGTTTCCGTCCCAGCTGGAGCGTTTGCCAGGCCTCTTTGGTGATGAAGTCTGCTGCCCAGAATGGCAGTGTGGGTTTTGTTTTGTTTTTTTAAGTGTGCTAGTCCGGCGGTTCAAGGACTTATCTGGAAGGGCTTTACACTCAGTTCCTTTTTGATTCGATCTGCTTGCTTTGGCAATATAGTTGTTAAAATCCCACTATTCGTATGATTTCTTTTCGCTCTGGGTTTTGTTCAGGATTCTGTTTACTGGTATGATGATCATATGCATTTCAAAATCCTTGTATACAGTCACTGAAAAGTTTGTCATCAATCAGAAAAGGGGACGTTTCCAGACGACCCAGGGTCATCCTGTGACTGCTCCTGTTTTTAGGAGCCCACCTTCACTGGGGGTGCTGGCCAGCACTGACTGTGTGACCGGCTCTGTCATCTGTCCTGGGAAACGCACACCATCCCTGGGGCCATGCTGGGGGTTGTGGGGTTCTCTTGCAAGGCTGTATATTTATACAAACACAAGCATAACTGTTAGTAACCTCCTAGGACATCACAGGACATGTCATATATGTGACTACTCCAGATTGTCACACTTCTGTGAATCTGGAGGTAGTTCCGTCCTGAAGCCCAGATCTGAAGAATTCCCATTTGCTAATCAACTCAGTGTGTCTGTTTAGTCCCCTGTGTGTTAGCTGGAGGGAGAAGTTGCTGGATTTTTGTCTCCAGTCCACAGGCGCATGCCAGTCCGTGTGCGTGTTGCGAGTCCCAGGCCAGGGCCGCTGCGGGTGTTTGTATCCACGTGGAGGTGGCGGGAAGCAGCACAACCAGGAAATGCTCAGTGGGGGTCCTTTAGGCAAAGGTTATTTCTTTCCCAGGATAAACTGATTCCACAGCTTGTACTCAGTTAAACTCGTGCCCGGCAGTGTGTGATGCTGGAACCCGGTGTGGTAGAAATTCTAACCCCCGAGTGTGGAGCCCCACTGGTGTGGCTGCCCGGCGTCCCTCTCCTTTGGGAGCAGAGCTGAGGTCCACCTGGCATGGTGGGCTCTCCCCTCAGTGGACCCTGACCCAGGCCTGCCACCAAGATTGCCTCTGGGAGGGCATGGGACTCGGGCTGTCCCCAGCCCGCCACACCAGAGGTACCCTTCTGCCCCCAACCCCGAGTTCCCAGGGGGACGTCCTCACATCAGTCCTTACCCCGCCCCCAGGACAGGATGACCTTGAGCTGGGTCATGTTTCTAGAGAACTCGTTTGTTCTCCTAAGGAGGGTTATGTCAACACAGCGGTGTAGGAGGGCTCCTGATCTGAACAAGCCCTCATTCATTTTAACATAATGAAGTTATTGTTGTCCCTGGAAAAGTTTTTTTCCCCTAAGATTGTTTTATTTCAGTATTTTCTTTGACATCGGAAGACATCATTCAACCATCCTTTAAAGCATAGAGGCTTTGTTGGAGCAGGGCCCCTGAGCCAAGACGCGGCGGGGGGCCGGGGACGCTGAGGCTGGGGCAGCACAGCCGAGCCTCTCACTTCATCCTCCTTACGCCTCACAGTGTCGCCTTTATTTTTCTCCCTGGCGGCTCCCTCCCCACCATGCGGAGTTCCCACGGTGGATTCTGTGGTACCGAAGACCCCAGACGTCCTCGTCACACCCCTGGCCCCGTGTCCGCTCTGCCCTATGCTCACTGTCCTCCAGTCCCACGGGCCACCCCACGCCACCCCAGCCCTCTCCTGAAAGACTGCCCGCCTCAGGGAAGCCTTCCCTGGCCACCCGACCCACCTCCTGGAATGGGTGACCTTCAGTGCCCCCCGCATGTCCTCCTCAAAGCCCCATCACACCACATTGGCAGTGCCCCCCACACATGCCATGCTGGACCCAGGTCAGTCCGTCCTGTCAGCAGCTCCTGAGTGAACGGAGTTTCCTGGAAACCAAGGGGCAGAGAAGCAGTGATCCAGCCCATGGCCCAGGCTGCACCCACCCCCGCTCCCCAAGGCTGCACCCGCACACCCGCGGGACCCACCAGGAAGAGTTCTCCTGAGCCCCTGACATCGCCTGGGAGGGCAAAAGGCCTAAATGTACCCAGGCAAATAATTGGATACCAATGGCTGGCACATGGTCACACACTGGCCAGTTATCTGCGGGGCTAAAAGCAGTTTGTATGTCACGGGAAAAGAGGTCTAGAAAGCATAGGCACCTAAACAAACTTGGTGACACCAACACCTAAGGCTGGCTCTCTCTGCATGTGTGTTATTGCCTCTAGAAGATTCCGTGGGATCCATTGGTGAGGGGAAAGAGGGCTGCTGGCGGGGTGATAAGACAGGTAAGGGAGCACCTTCTAAGCCCTTTCTTTGGTGCTTAGAAAAAGCACTAAACCATTTCTCCTGGGTCCTTCTATCTGTCACATAACACAAGTGGGTCACATAGTGTCATGACTGGGAGGGGGTTCTAGTAGGTAGACTGCTGAAGGCTGCCCTGTACACAGCCCAGGACAGCCCCCCACACAAAGGATGGCCCAGCACACACCGCCGTGGGGCCGAGGCTGAGAAGCCCAGCTCCACATACTAAGTGGTGCTATTTACGCAGAAGGAAAGGAGCTTCTGCATAGGGCTGGAGGTGGGACCAGACCCCAAGCGCAGAGGAGCTTGGAAGAGCACCCCAGGTCCCCAGGACAGTTCTGCAGAGGCGCTGGTTGTTGGGACTCTGTCGGAAGCCTTTGTGGCTGAGCGGGAAAGGGGGTTGGCCCCCAGGCTGGTGCTGGAGGGCCCGGTCCTCTGGGCCAAGGTAAGCACCTCAGATGTCATTCCACAGGCAGTGCGGAGCCTGCAGGATGTTAAACAGGGTGGGGGGAGGGGAGCGGGATGGGGGAACCAGACCGAGATGGAACGTGTGGATTAAAAGAGCCCTGGGCTTCTGCGCAGAGCATGGGATGGGGGCAGGAGACCAGGCAGGACGCTGGAGTGTGGATAAGGGTGGAGGCGTGAGACAGAAGGATTGGAGGGGGTACAGAGAGCTCCGGAGGGAAAGGAAGGACAGCCGTGGGCTTAGGTGTGGGAAGCGCTGAGGTCAAGGACAGCCGGCTCCAGTGGACAGGAGCTGGAACTCCGCAGCCCCCAGTCAAATTCATATTCCAGACCGACAGCAAATTGCTTTAGTGTAAGTATGTCTCAGGTCATACTTAAGACATACTTATATATTTTAAAAACACTGCTTCTCTGACATTCAAATTTAACTGGACATCTTGTGTTTTTATTTGCTAAAGCTGGCAGCCCCATCGCAGCGGCCAGAATGGGTTAGACGTCCCCTTGGACACTCAGGGGCAATGGCAGGTAGGCAGGTGTCCGCACAAGCCCAGGGCACAGAGGAGAGGTGTGGCCAGGGGAGCGTGGGATGAGAGCCTCCGCTGGGAGGGATGGCCCTGGGCGTGTGATAGTAAATGATTCTTCCTTAACGTCATAAAAACCTTTTTCATTCATCTGAAATGTCCACTGGTTTTCAAGCTAAATATCTGTTGGGATTTGAATGGTAGTTGCACTGATTTATTGATTGGTAGGGGAGGATTAATATCAAGACCACCTGTTCAAGAAACAGTCGTCTGTCCTGCCTATACCCACCTGCACATTCCTTGTTCATTTTCTAGGAGTCTCGTGCTACTATGGGTGGGATGTTTCCCCCAATTTATTTCCTGGTCATTGCTGAAATATAAGAAAGCTCCTTCTGTACCTTTGTTTCATGTTTGGCCTTCTCCCTGCACTCGGCCTCCAACAGCGCTTGCTTCTTGCTTTGTTTTCATTCTTCTCCCCGTGGCTTTTCAGCCAGGAAGGGCGATGGTCCCACCTCCTCCCAATTTGGACTCTCCGTTTGGTTCCTGCTGCGACTGGGGTGGAGATGACAGCTGCTGGGCGGGGAGTGGCCCGGCTGCCTGCCTTCCTCCCTGCTGGGGACAGCAAACCCGAAACCTCCAGTCTTCCTCCTTTGGGCAAAATGCTTTTAATTTTATTTTTGCTGTGGACGGGAGAGGGGTAGAGAATGAGTCTCCTTGCCGCGTGTAAAATATGTTTTTGTGATGTTAGGGGAGAATCACTTAACATCCCACGGAGCCTCCTGCTGACTTGTGAATTCCATCTGTGGCTGGCCGGCTGCTGGCCCCGGTGAGACGGTGACCCAGGTGGAGGGGAGGTTTGCTAGTGTGATTCTGCCTGTATGTCTGGGGCGCGTGGAGTGCTTCTCCGGTCCCTGTGCAGACTCAGGAGTCTGCTGGCTGCTGTGCATTTTGAGTTTTGCTCACTGTTCCTAAGGATTGTTCCGTACTTTCTTTGGTGGCTTTTCTTAGCAGCACTGGGTCTTCCCTCAAGAGGTGTGAGCCCTTTGGTCCTTTCCGTCTGTGCCTGGGCAGTTCAGAGGGTGTGAACGGCCTGTGCCTCCGGGAGCTTAAGGAGCTCCATTGGTTTTGTCTTACAGCAATGATGTTGTCTCTTGTTTTCCCATGAACTCGTCCATTTCATCCGACACGTGGTTATATAGATAATTACCTTATTTTCCTAATCCTCCCTGTTTCTGTGGACATTGGCTCTTTCTTGACCCAGTTTTGTGAATTATTTTCACATTGGTTCTTGATCAGAAGTGAACAGTGGTTTATCTCTGTTCACTGTCTTTTCCCCTCAGAAAAGCAGCTCTTTCTCCCGGAATGCTGAATCCATTTGTTTTTGTTCTTTCTTGTTTAGGAGTGAAACCCGCCCGAGTTTCCTTCTGCCTTGTGCCTATCCTTGATATTGTTTGGATTTTCCGTGTTTGTGGTCTTTATTTCCGATGTACCACATGGGTTATTTGAAAGCAAGTGTTTTTTATATTTTATTTATTATTTTATTTTATTTTATTTTATTTTATTTTATTTTATTGGGGAACAGTGTGTTTTTCCAGGACCCATCAGCTCCAAGTCAAGTAGTTGTCTTCAATCTAGTTGTGGAGGGCGCAGCTCCTGGGCCCATGTGGGACTTGAACCAGCAACCTTGGTGTTATGAGCCTGCGCTCTCACCACCTGAGCCAACCGGCTGCCAAGAAAGCAAGTTTTTACAAAGCCCAGGGGCTCAGGCTTTCTGGTTCCTCCCTCGACACTTCCTCCCAGCCTTACTGCACTGCGGACGGACAGCAGACCCCGGGACACCTCTGCTCAGTGTGCGTTAGGCTTCCTTCTGGCCTGACTGGAATGTCCCTTTGTAAATGGCCCATAAACCCGTGGGAGGAGCGTGGAATTTTTGCGTGTCATGTGTAGTCATCGTTTGAACTATGTTCCTTAGGTCCTCTGTGCCCTTTGTATTATACTTTCGTCTCCCAGCGCTGTCGGGGGCTGTGAGAGCTGGTTGAAGCCCACACGGCTTTTGTGACTCCAACAATGTCCTAGGGCAGAGTTCCTGTGTGCTCCACGCGGGGAGAGACGGGAGGGAATTCACACGCGTGGGCCCTCCCAGCACGGCTGCATGGCGAGTTCTAATAGTGGGGCCTTCTTTATCCCATTCACTGTGTTTTTTAATGCTTATAGGATGCACATAAAATTTACCATCTTAGCCAGTTGAATGTACCGTTCTGTGGCATTAGGTACATTCGCGTGGCTGTGCCACCAATCACCACCGTCCATCTCCAGAATTTTGTCATCTTCCCAACTGTAACTCCATCCCCATTAAATACTCACGCCCTCCTCCCCAGCCCCGGGCACCCACCCTGCTCCTCTGTGTCTCTATGAATTGACTCCATCGGAGCCTCCTATGAGCAGAATCACGTGGTATTCGTCCTTCCCTGACTGGCTTGTGTCACTCAGCACGATGTCCTCCAGGTCCATCCATGCTGGAGCAGGTGTGAGAATTCGCTCCTTTTTAAAGCTGAATGATAATCCCTCGTGTTGTCTATCCGTCTGTCGATGGACACTTGGGTCGCTTCCATCTTTTGACTGTTAGAGAGTGATGCTGCTCTGAGCGTGGGTATGCAAGTGTCTCTTTGAGACCCTGCATTCAGTTCTATGGGGTGTGTGCCCGGAAGTGGAATTTGGGGATCACATGGTACTCCTAAGTTTAATTTTTTGAGGGACCTCCACACTGTCCCCTGAGACTGCATCATTTCACGTCCCACCACTGTGCCCAGGGCTCCACTTTCCACAGCCTCGCCTCACTTCCTCTATCATTTTGACCGTAGCCGTCCTGGGCGTGAGACGCCATCACCGCTTCTCAGGTGGAATTTAACTTTATCAGGGGTGATATTGTGGCCGATCATGGTTTAGTCTCATATTGCCTGACGCCACTGCCCACCTTTTGGGCGTCACTTCTACCTGACTTAGTGTCCCATTTTCTTGTCGATTCATGGGACACGTTAACAGGTAGCTCCTCCACACCCAGCACAGAGCAGGCACTTTGAGGAGGGGAGGGCAGGAGGGACACAGCATCTCTGGGCCCGAGAAAGGGGCAGTGCGCTGGAGCTGCAGCCTCACCAGGAGGAGCAAAACCAGGTAACAGTCAGGAGAACCTGCGTTGGAGCAAGCTGCTGTTTGAAGGGGACGTGAAAGGGCCGCGGGGGCCAGGGCGACTTCTTCCTCTTCTCTCTCAGCCCTTGATTGGCTGCCCAGAGGGTGGCGGTGGGTGGGAACTTCTCTTGCCAGGGATGGAAAGCTTCTGGGGGGGGACCCTCCTGAAGAGAGAGGGCTGGTGGCGAAACACAAACACCAGACACTGAGCCGGGGGACCCAGGTGGGAGCATGCCCAGGGACCAGGTGGGGCGATGCCCAGAGACCAGGTGGGGCGATGCCTGGGGACCAGGTGGGGGGATGCCCAGAGACCAGGTGGGGCGATGCCCGGGGACCAGGTGGGGCGATGCCCGGGGACCAGGTGGGGCGATGCCCGGGGACCAGGTGGGGCGATGCCCGGGGACCAGGTGGGGCGATGCCCAGAGACCAGGTGGGGCGATGCCCGGGGACCAGGTGGGGCGATGCCCGGGGACCAGGTGGGGCGATGCCCGGGGACCAGGTGGGGCGATGCCCAGAGACCAGGTGGGGCGATGCCCGGGGACCAGGTGGGGCGATGCCCGGGGACCAGGTGGCACAGGGGCCTGCAGCCCACCAAGGCTGGAGCATGGTGACTGAGGGCTGCTTCAGGCGCGCCAGATGATAAGGTGGCAGGAGCGGGTGCTCAGATGGGCTGGAACTCCGCCCTCGGGTCTGGACCTTCGTTGTCCCGACAGGTCATCTTCAGGCTCCTCACACCTGTCAGTAAAGTACCCGGGACATGCGCTCCAGCCACTGCTCAGTGATCTGTTTGTTACACACCTGTGACACCGCACTGTCCTACACATATGCAGAAATAGACTGCTTTAACAGGTGAGATGTGAAAATTAGTTTATAAAATCAAGAAAATCCCTTTGCCCTCCTCTGATGACATTGTGTATCCCTGAAGGACACCAGTGGTTGCAGTGAGTCTGGTTGATGGATTCATTCAAAATGTCCAATTGCTGACAGGAACATTTGAATTGATTGTTTGGTTCCTTGGTAGGAGCTCAAAAAACACGACACCTTTAAAATCCCACCACACTGAGAGCATAACCTTCCTCTGATGAATGTCTGCTTTCGATGTCGTTTGAGGTGAATCATCACGTCGGGACCAAGACTGTTTGCGCGCCACATTGTTATAAACAATCCACTTCTCATCACCAGTTATCAGTCGCTTCAAACAAATCATTTTCCTCATGTTTAATGAGCATATAGCAGATGTTTATACGCGCCATCAAATGAACTTCTTTGAGTTCATGCGGAACCCAAATATCGAGCTTGCTTATGAATCCCAGCTTCTTCAGGTGGTCATGAATGCTTGAATGATGAATGGTCGATGTTTCTGCAATCTCTTGTGTTGTGTAATGTGGGTTTGACTCGATCAATGCCTTTATTTTGTCATCATCAACCTCGGTGGGCCTCCCTGACCAAGGAGTGTCGTTGAGATCAAAATCACCAGCATGGAATTTCGTGAACCATTGTTGGCACTGACGTTCTTATAGAGCATTGTCACTATAAACTTTATGCAACTTATGACAAGCTTGACGTGCATTCTTCCCTTTATGGAAGTAAAACAATAAAATATGGGGAAAACACAGTTTGGTCTTCCATCTTCAACTTGTTGTAAAATCTCCAAAACTCAACCAAATTGCTCAATTTTTTTTTTTTAGAATGAAGCTAGAACTGTCAGCTGTCAAATGACATAGCAATAACATAGATGCGAATGACTCTAGTATTTCCAAAAATGAACTAGCACCATCTGTCACAAACGTGTGTCATGACTTTTCCGAAGACCCGATAGATGGTGGCTCTCATAGACAGATATCATCAGGTACCAAGGTACAATATGGTATCGGATCACTGTCCGAATGCCCACTGCTGGAGGACAAAACTCACAAGGTGCTTGACAGGCTGGGCAGACAGCCATCTCTGGAGACCTTGGTTGAAGCAGTTGAGGCCCAAACCACTTGGAGATTTCTAGAAGCCAGAACAGACCCGGAAAGTTAGCGGTCAGTGGCCAGGAGCGCGATGTCCTCCAGCATACCTACTCCTTCGTTCATGGTGCCGTCAGCCCCCAACATTCCCAGAGCCCACTGAGGGCTGGCGCCGGGTGGAGGAAGTGCGGGCTCCAGGTCCATAGTTGGCGATTGAAGGGTTTCCCTGGCACTTACACTGTGGAGCAGCGCACGCGCTCAGAGAGCGCTGTGCCGGCAGGGCAGCGGGGGTGATGGTTCGCCAGGCCTGGAGGGCTGAGTAGGAGTTTTTACTGGACACATAGTTTTTTCTTTTTCGGTTTGTGTCATTTTGGTTTTGGTTTTCTTTTTTTCAGAACAGGCTAAGGAAGGCTGAGGGCAACGTGTTCGAACCGAATTCTGTTTACGTCATTGTCTGGGGCACTCGGTGACAGGGGATTGGCTCTGGACTGGCTGTAACCAAGAGAGTAGGAAGTGGGTGGTTCTCAGTCCACTGGCCCGGCGGGGTGAGCAGAAAATGATTCACGAGAACCTGCAGAGCAAGGGTTTTCCAGTGGCAATTAGAAGCTCTGGCTGGCCTACAGAGACAATATTTTATAAATTGTGTGTTTTTTAACCTGTGGAAAATAGAGGACAGCGGGAGGCAGAAAGATCGCCCATAATGGCACCGCTGGGCGATAACCCACTCTTGACATTTCCTCTGAATTTATTATTCATAAGCAGCTTTATTGGGGTATAACTGACACAGAATGCATGAATGTATTTAAAGGGTGCAGTTTGGAAGGTTCTGACATACATGCACACACATGTGGACTCAAGACAGTGTGTGTCTCTACCCATCACCTCTGAAAGTGCCCTTTGTCCCCTCCCCCTCCTGTCCCCTCCTCCTCGCCCCTGTGGCCCCTGGGGTCAGAGGCCCCTGAGTGTCCTGTGGGTTCCCATTTTGAGGTTCCCATTTCTCAGATACACTGTGGCTGGTGAAGAAGAGGCCTGCCTGAGTCCAGTGAGGCCTTGAGGCCTCCTCTGTGCCTGGCCTGGAAGGTTCCGGGGGCAGGGGGGTGGAGGGGGGCGGTCTCTGGAGGCACATGAGCTCCCCACGTCCCCCCCCCACACCCCCCCTCCCAGCTCTAGGGCCACAGCAGGGGCTCTGTTTTTAGCCCCCAGCCTGTCACTCAGACCAGCAGGCCTCCCAGCCGCTGGCCCTTCCTCACCTCCCACCCCCCCACACACTCCCCACACCCCTCCCTGTCGTCCCAGCCATCCCCCCAGCTCTGGGAGGAGGAGGATTTGGGGTCTGTGGTTCTCTCTCTGCAAACATGAAATCAGCCGCAACAGGACGGGCTCCCCTGCCAGGTGTGCAGGCCCAGACCAAGGGCGACCTAAGACGAGACCCTCCAGGTTCACACGGCCGGGCCCTCACCTCTCCTTAGGCTCCAGGTGCTGGAGGACCAGATGGAGCGCCCCGTGGGGAGCTGGGCCGCCCTGACTCTGTCCCCATTGCTGTCCTGAGGGACCCCACGGCTTTGTGCTGCTGCCCTCTCTCCTCATTTCAGGGGCTTTCTCCTGCTGTGGGGGGAGGGAGCATTCCTCTGAACCCCCAAAGGAGCCCTGGGTTCCCAGTGGTGCACACTCCAGGGAGGCTCCTGTCCTGACACGCGGAGGAAGGAATGCATTCTAAGGCGTGAGTGATGAATGCTAGAATTTGCGGTCACAGAGCAGTGGAACCCAAACAGCTGGTTTCAAAACTTTTGGCAATTTTATTCAGTTTTAAAACTGTGATGTCTCTGTTTCCAGTGAAAGAAGCCACGTCAGGCTGGTTTAAAAAAGTGTGTCATTCTCCTAAATGATGAGTGGTTCCCAGACCCCGCAGCAGCTGGCCCCGCTCATCCCAGTTGTAGGAACTGCAAAGAATAAGGCCCGGCTCTGCTCGCCCAGGGCAGGAAGGAAGGTGGGGGATCTCCGTCCCCACGGAGCGGGGGTCCCGCCCTCGGTGGGAGAGAGAAGTGAGAGGTGTGGCATCCAGGGGGACCAGCCCAGAGCCAGGCCAGGGTCACGGCCAGGGGGCAGACCTGCCCTAGCGTGAGCGCCGAGGCGGCAGGACAGGGAGGCAGGTGTCTGTGGTCTGTGGCCCAGAGGACACAGGAGGAGACTGACCTGAATACATGGGGGCAGGGGTGGCACTTGAACAGGAGGGATTGGGGACTGGGGACTGGGGACTTCCTTCTCAGAGCTCATTCCAACCTGGTGGAGGGGACAGTGGCACTCAGGGCCCCAGCACTCCCCTGCTGGGGACCCCACCTGAGGAGGTGGCACTGCCTGGCCCTGGGGACTGGCTCTGTGCAGCCTGTTTTCCTGACTCGGGATTGCGGAGTCACCAACATCCTTGTAATAGGCTGTTGTTCAGTGTCATGTCCACCCCAGTGGGGCTCACCCGAGAGCCCTGACTGAGATGCACGGTCATCTTCATTCTCCCTAAAACGGACCCTTCCCGAACAGGAGGGGGGGTCCCCTGAGCTTCCTGACCCTCTTGGGGCCAGCCCGAGGCGCCCGCCTCACCCCCACACAGAATGGCCACTGATGAAGCAGGAGTCGCCGTCTCGTTCATTTGACTAATATTAACGTGCAGAGCTGCTGGGTGCCAGGGAGGACGTGTGTGTGTGTGTGTGTGTGTGTGTGTGTGTGTGTGTGTGAGAGAGAGAGAGAGAGAGAGAGAGAGAGAGAGAGAGAGAGAGAGAGAGAGAAAAGAGTGGGAGATGACAGGGCGGAAGAAACAGTTCTCAGAAAAGAAAAGTAACATTCTACCCACCTAAATGAGGTGCCGAGAAAGTCGGGGGCAGCTGAGACCTCAGACAAGGAGGACAGGTCCAGTGTAGGCCTTGGGTTTGCAGGGGAACGCGTTTCAATGGGGAGACCGGGTGGGTGCTGGGAGCAGTGAGGGGTTCAGGACCATCGGAGGGGCGACCCTGGGATGAGGCTGGCTTGGACGGGTGGCTCGGAGTTTCTTCCCAGAGCCTTGGCCTTCGCTTCCTCTGCAGGCAGGCTTTCTTGGGGTGTCTCCGTGGGGCAGGTGGAGCAGCCGAGCAGAGGACCCAGCATAGCCTGGGGGCGTAGAGGTGACCAACAGCTGGGCCCCAAACAGGAGGTGCAAAGGACGCCTGCCCCACAGACAGAGAAAGGGGACCTTGGGCCTGAAGAGGAAGTGGAAGCCTGGGGTGCGGGGGCCCAGGGGGAAGGCTGTCCCACCTGCCCGGCGGCCACCAGAGCTTTGGGGAAGTGAGTGAATTTCGATCGGTGCAGTGCACTGCTTGACCAACAGTTTTTTCATTTTGATCCTGTATTTATCAAGGTGGGAGTGATTTATCAAGGTGTGACTATGTCATGTCACAGTTTGTCAGCTGGGGATGACAGCCCTGATGGACAGAAGAGCCGCAGCCCTCAGGGAAGGCCGGGAAGGGTGGGCGGGGACGAGGCTGGAAGGTGACCGGTGGGCGGGGACGAGGCCGGAAGGTGACCGGTGGGTGGGGACGAGGCCGGAAGGTGACCGGTGGGCGGGGACGAGGCCGGAAGGTGACCGTCCCCACACACTGTCGTTGCAGTGCATCACCTCTTCATGGCCACTGCCTGCCAGGATGCCGACTACGGCGCCCTCCTCCAGGAGCTCTGCCTCGCACCGTTCAAGGTGGACATGGAGGCCATCGGGAAGACACTGTGGTGCGACTGGGGCAAAACCATCAAGTGAGTCCTGTGTGTCCCCTGGTGGGAGGGGCGTGGCGGGGATGGGGGCCTTGGGGCCGCAGGGCCTGGTGAGCGGTTCCTCACCACAGTCCAGCATGATGGGATGTGGCCATGGTGGGGGGACCACGTGAGAGGGAGGGAGGGACCAGTGACCGTGAGTGTGGGCAGTGAAGGGCGGGAGGAGGCGGCTTTGTGATGACCAGGGCTCTTGTACGGGGGGTCCTTGAGGCATCAAGAGATGGAGGGGCCCATGTGGGCCACATCGAGTCTGAGATGCTGGCCCCCTCCAGGTGTAGGCATCTGGGGGACCACGGAGAGCACAGCCTAGTGCCTTGGGTGGCCTTGGGTGGCCTAGTGTCTGTGACAGGAGCCCCAGCTTGCAGGGATGTCCCTGTTTGTCCCCGTGGTCAGGCCAGGGCCGTTCTTCACACCCTGTTCAGGGCTCAGAGCTCCCTGGAGTGGTGGGAGGGAGGCTATCACTGGATGAGGTGGCCCACAGCTCCCCAAGGGTGTCTGGCATGGACCCCTTCTGCTTTGTATAATAACTGGGTATTTCTGTCAAAATGCCCCTCTTCCCACCCCATGGATGGTAATAAGGATCACGCGGGCCCAACACATCAGAGCCTCATGGTGATACTGCTGGAAATAGAAGCATTGGGTGGGATGAGGTGGCTAGGAAACTGGTTTTACTTAAAAAAAAAATCAAGTTAATTGAGGGAGCAAGAAACAAAAGCCCCCATTATAACAGCACCTCAGCAGGTCAGCTGGGGCCTCCAGCTGGGGTCTGGGGTTGGCAGAATCCTGGCCCGAGACGTCCTAGTCCGCAGAACCTGCAAATACCCGTATGTTACATTGCCCGACACGTGTTACCTGACAAAGGGGAAGCGGATTGCTGAGGGAACTAAGGTTGCTAACCAGCTGACCTAGAGGTGCCGAGATTACCCCAGACTATCTGGTTGGGTCCAGTGTCATCACAAGGGTCTGTACATTGTCCCAGCTTTGGCTGTGAGAGCGCCTTCCAACTGGCTTTACGTGGTTTTGTTGTTGTTGTTTTCTTGACATGCCCCCACCCTTTTGGGGGCACTTCCTTACTTTATGGTACCACGAATGTGCCAGGCTCATCTCGGACTTTCCTGCCCCAGCTCCGGACCATCCATTTCTCCAGGGAGCCCCGGTTCCTTTTGTTACGAATGGTGTGTAGAGGCAAGGATATATACAAAGGGACAGATACAGATACAGTACAGATACGATACAGATAAAGACACACACATACACGCACACACACATTCATACCAGCGGTTCTGATGTAACCTATGAAACATGCAAACGTGCAAGATGAAAACATGGGTGAATTCCCCCTTAGCTTTGCTGTAGGGAACACTCTATATAACAGTAGTTACTTCAAGGCATTGCCTTACGAGGTTGCAGGGTCTGGAAGTCCTAGGCTGGGTCTGCAGCCTGCAGGCAGGATTTCTCACCTTACTCTGACGGCCTTTCAACTGACTGGACGAGCCCCCCACACACACATGATCAGAGATACCCTTTGACATACAGCCAGTTTAGTATAGATGTGACCCACACCTGCAAAACACCCCCGGCTACACCGGTCGGGGTCTGGCTGAGTAACGGGGCTGTAGCCTTGGCAGGTTGACTGACCATCACCTGGGAGTCTGCGAGCCTAAGCTACACGAGAGAGGTTGCCCCAGCACCATGGCTCCCCTGACCCCGTCTCCACCCACTGCCTCTGGGTAACCGATCTCATTAGTGTCAGCTTTTTCCTTCTTGTATTTCTTTTGCACAAATGAGCAACTGTGTGTACTTTTTTTCTTAAATCTTTCTTATATGAAGGGTGGTATAATAGATCCTTTTTGCGCTTTGTTTTTTTTTTCCACATAACAGTATATCCTGTAAATCAGACCTTATCAGTGCATAAAGAGCCTCCTCACTCATTTTTACAGCTGGGTCATACCCCACCATGCTTAGTTTTTTAGCCGCTGTCCTAAGAAAAGGCATTAGAACTGTTTTCCAGGTTCAGGGAGTGTTCAATGAATGAACCTGTCGGCACAAACGTTTTCATATTGTTGGAGCGGTGTCTTCAGGGTTCGGTCCTAGACGTGGAATTGCCGGGTCAGCTGTAAGAGCACCTGTTGTTGGTTAGGTCCTGCCACCCCCCCAACCCCCCACCC